CCAGTGCCACCGATCCCGGAGCCAGCTGTGGGCTGCTAGTGCCACCTGGAGTTAAACAGCTCCTCCCAAAGCCTGCCAGCTCCCAAACTCTGGAGCACAGAGCCTGCAAAGCACCCAGCCAGCAGCACCAGGTCTGTGCCATGGCTTGGGATCCCATTTCCACACACTGACCATTCCAAAGGCTCAGCACAGAGAGCCAGGCTGAGCTGGGCACAAGAGCTGCAGGAACTGGGAACCTCAGCCCAAGATGGGCCAGCAAAAGCCACCAAAGCTTTTAAAAACCTCAGCTCCAGGTTGGTGAGCACTTGACAAGCCCAGCCTTCAGTATTTTTCTGAAGTCAGCCTCTTGCCTGCCCTTCCCCACTAAAAGCCACAGGCCAAAGCACAGCTTTAGCTGCAGCACAAAGTCAGAGCACGACAGTTCAAGTGGCTGCTGAAGCCCAGACTATTTCAGATAAGAGCTGCCTCTTAATGCACCACTTGTCTTTGGAGACAAGTAAAATAGAGGTGTCCTGGGCACCCTGGGGCTAAATTGTAGCCTTCCTTAACCAGTAAGGACAGAACCAACTGGACTGTAGCAAAACTGTCCTTGTGGGACAGAATAATTCATCCAGTGTCAGCAGGGTCAGCCTTTGGCATCATTAACCCATTCCCAGTGTGCTGCCAGGCAGGGAGAGCAGGGATTTGTTTGGTCCTGTTACAGCAGGAGAGAGCAAAGCAAAGAGCATGGCAGAAACACAGTGTGAGCAGCTTCAGAAATCCTGGAATCATTGAATGGTCTGACCTGAAGGGACCTAAATCCCATCCAGTCCCACCCCTGTCCTGGCAGGCAAGACCTTCCACTGTCCCAGGGTGCCCCAAGCCCCATCCACCCTGGCCTTGGGCACTGCCAGGGATCCAGGGGCAGCCACAGCTGCTCTGGGCACCCTGTGCCAGGGCCTGCCCACCCTGCCAGGGAACAATTCCTAATTCCCAATATCCCATCTACCCTGCCCTCTGGCACTAGGAAGCCATTCCCCTCTGGAGCCTCCCTCAGCAAACACTCAGCTCTCAGGGCTTTGGGCTCACTGCTCCTATTCCACTCCTGCCCCGCTAAGGGAAGTGCGTCAGAGCCGACCTGGGGCTGCTGAACAACCCCTGTGACATGACAGGGCTGACGGAGGTGGCTGGCACTGAGACACATCATGTCTGAGCTCCAAATAGCTCCGGCAGGCGGTGAACAATCCCTCTCCCAGCTGCCAGCATCCAGCAGGACGTGGCTGGCTTCAGTCAGACCATCAGCATCAATAAAACATTTGGCAAATCCAGGAGCAGCTGTGACTAATGATGGCACCAACCCCAGCAGAGCACAAAGTCATGGTCAGCCCCTGAGTCATGAAGAGCCTGACTGGAAGGGACCACAGGGATCATCCAGTCCAGCCCTGGCCCAGCACAGACACCCCAACAAGCCCAGCCTGGCCATCCCTGGAGCTCGTGGAGCTCTGGCAGCCTCGGGGCCGTGTCCATTCCCTGGGGAGCCTGGGCAGTGCCCAGCACCCTCTGGGGGAAGAACCTTTCCCTGAGATCCAGGCTGACCCTCCCCTGACACACAGAAGGGTGTTTTGGTTTTTTGTTTGTTTTACAGAAAAAGAGAACCCCACTGTGTTTTTCTACTTTCATCTTTCCTATTGAAACAGCAGCTTGAGACTTCCTCCAAAGCCCACCAAGGATTTAAATGTACTTCCTGAGAAATCAGGAACACTGGAAAGGCTCACCAAACATACCAAATCCTCCTGGCACCCAGGCCAAGCAAAAGCAACTTTCAGCCCAAAAGGGATTGTGTCAAAAATTTACAAGCAACCCCAAAAAGCAAATGTGAGACTGGGCTGCGTTCACCAAGCACCACAGGAAATGTGACCATGGAAAGCTTGTTTCCATTTTATTTCATTTCTTTCTGGCTACCTGGACACACAGAATGGCTGAAACACTACCAGGAGCACTGCAAACCCAACAAACAACCACTGCCAGCCTCTCCCTCAGTGCACTGGCACCCACCAAACCCTCAGAGCTGTGCTGCTGTTTCAGGAGGAGCTGGGCACTGATGAAAATGGAACTGTGTTGCCTCTGGCTGGGACTTTCAAAAGCAGCTCTTGCTGAGTATCAAGGTATCTACAAGTAGGCAGCTCCAAGGGCTCATACCTCTGCAACCCAATGGGGAGGCTAAATTTAGCCAATATTCAACGCCAGGCTAAAATAAAAGCCTTTGCTTAACCACTGCTCCCTTTGCCTCGAGGAAGGTAAATTGCTTTGAAGGTGAATCCACAGTGAGCACTACCATGGTCTGAGGAGATGCTGCTCCAAGGAAAACCTCTGTTATGCAACTGCAGTATCAAAGAACAGCTCTCCCTGAACCACCAATACTCATTTTGCTTCTCTTGGGCTAATTATGCCCTCAGGGATACTCTTGAAAAGACACTGAGCCTACACCCAAAGACACCAGTTGGTGCAAAATAAATGAGATAATCTTTTGACTACACTGCACTTGTTATTTTAGGGGGAATGATGCTGAGGGAAGAAGGGAATTATTTTATTTTTGTAGCCACAAAAGCCTTCCTGGTGTGTTATTTACAGGAAAAAATGTTGTATGACTTAAAAAAAAACCCAGTGCAGCTTCTCTTTTTCACAGCTGAGTGACCACTGAAGAATTTGGTGAGCAGCAGAGGAGGGAGAGCTGGGAGAAGCAGCTGGGCTGTGAGGATACAACAGTTCAGAGTCTTTGAAAGTGCAGATTTATGTAAGCAGATCCTACCAGTGGCTCCAATACTGGCACTACCATGAGCACAGCAGAAGGGAAAATATGGACCCACTTGTCTGGATAATGAATTCCTGTCCCTGGAGTGCCACAAGGAAATCAGAGCTCTCTGGGGAGCCTTCTTTGGGTCAAAAGAATTATGGTAGTAAGGTGACCTTCTCTCCAGCACTGCTTTGTTTTCCAAATGTCCACTTTATACAAAAGCACAGTTCCATTCACGCCCAAACCCAAATGAGCAGGAGTGAGACTGAGCCAAGGGGAAATGCTCCAACCACCACACAGAGCACAGGGCCAGCACAGAGCACTGCCCCCATCCCCTGCTCTCCTTAGTAGTAACTGAATAAATGAATAAATAAAAACAAAAGACTGCCACCTTAAACACAAAACCAAGCAAAATATAAATAAAATGCAATCAAATACATGACAAACAAAACCAAAGTAACTGCCACCACAGTCTTCAGGAGTGAGGCTGAAAAGATGGACTGGTCCAAGGCCTGTAGTGGCCCCAGCCAGCAGCAGCTCCCTGGGGCCATGAGGAGAAGGCAAAGTCTCTGCCACTCCTTGCTGAGCCCTGGGGTCACTCCCCACACCACACAGTAAAAGAATGGCTCTTTGCTTCCCAGCTGTGCCAAGGCTGATGCCAACCCAGTGACCAAAGCTGGCAGCCACGGGCAGAACACTGCAGGCACTGCAGAGCTCAGGCCAAAGAGCAGCTGAGGCCGGAGAGCAGCAGGGCTGGGCTGCACAGCTGGACTGGCCCAGGACACGGCAGAGCCCAGAGCTCAGCCCTCAGTGACACTGGGGCATTCTCAGGAGCTTCAGGAGAGCAGCCCAGGCCAGCCCCATCCCTACAAGTGCTGAATAAATGTGAGGATGTGGCTCCTGAGGTCACGGCTTAGTGCTGAACATGGTGGTGATGTGGTGTTGGTGGTTGAACTTGATGATCTTAAAGACCTTTTGCAACCTTAACAGTGCCATTATAACACTGATTTAGCACCAAGGCAAGCACACTCCACCCCAAGAGAGAAAAGAAACTGGACTAAACTCCCTTCAGCTTCCATGTGAGCAGCAAAAGGAAGCTCCCATCAGTCTCCTCCTCGCTCTGCCACTCCCAGCTGAGGCTCCTGAACTGCAGGGCTCAGTCTGGCTCTCCTCATGCTGGTCTTTTGTTTTAAAAAAAGACATGAAATCCACTCCAACTGCTCTCATTGGAGAGCTGCTGATCTGAACATCTAGTGGATGGTTAAAATTAGTTTGAACTACTTCCTTTTCTGGAAACAGTGTTTCAGCAACAAATCAGAGTTTGAAACTGAGATAAAAGCAAGGGACTAAGTTGCAAAACAGATGCAAAGCTGATCTTTAAACACTCCCTGACAAACTTACACTGCGGGAGCTGCAGAGTGTGGGACCATGGACACATCTCTCAAGCTGCCCCAGCAGGTACATCAAACCCCGGGAGCTCCAGGCACCGCATGAGGAGCTGCCCAGGAGCCAGCAGTGTCCTGGGGACATCAGGAAGAGCATTCCCAGCAAGGCAGGGAGTGATCCTGCCCCTCTGCTCAGCTGAGTTGAGGCACCTCTGCAGTGCTGTGCCCAGTTCTGAGCTTCACAGCTCAAGAAAGACCAGGAGCTACTGGAGAGGGTCCAGTGGAAGCCACAGGAACGATTTGGGGTGTGGAGCATCTTCCTGGTCAGGAGAGACTGTGGGAGCTGGGCCTGGTCAGTCTGGAGAAGGGAAGGCTGAGAGGAATCCCATCAATCCATAAAATATTCCCAGGGCTATCAGAAGATTGTGCCAGGCTCTGTTCAGTGGTGCCAGTGACAGGATGAGGAACAATGGCCATGAACTAAACCACAACCAATTCCATCTCCACATGAGGAAGAACCTCTTCCCACAGAGTGGCAGAGCTCTGGAGCCCAGGGCAGGCCTGGAGTGTCCCTCTATGGCCACAGCCCAAACCCCCTGGGATACATTCCTGTGCCACCTGCTCTGGGGGACCCTGCCTTGGTGCTGTTGGACTGGGTGATCTCCAGGGGCCCTTGCAGCCCCAGCCATTCCTGTCCTGTGTGTCCTGTCCTGTCCGTGGGTCAGGCCTGCCACGAGGGCCCAGGGCAGCCCCTGACCCCGCAGAGCCCCTCTCCCACTGCTCTGCTCAAAGGCAGCTCCAAGGCTCTGAGCTGGGCCCCAGCTGCTCTGGCAGAGCCTCACCTTGTTTAGTGAGTGCCTCCCTCAGGGCCGGGGTGATCATCTCTCTCCTCTCAGCTCCAGCAGCTCCTTCCTGCAGCTCCTGCTCTCTCTGTTGGAAGAATTACAGGGAATTACAGCCAGTTAGAGCCAGCTTCACCTCAACACTGGGGCACAACCACACCTGCTGGACTAAACCAAGTCTCTGTTGGAAGAATTACAGGGAATTACAGCCAGTTAGAGCCAGCTTCACCTCAAACACTGGGGCACAACCACACACCTGCTGGACTAAACCAAGCCAAGTGCCACACAGCAATTCCTACTTCCCCCTAATCCTGGATCTCATTCCTCTTCCCAGCAGTAACTCAAGATGGTAAACTGGAAAAGGAACACCCCCAGCACACCAGATTTGTCCCACTGACACAGCAATAAAATTCCCAAGGATATTTTAACAACCAGGCTGTGAAATCTCACCCAGGAGTGACTCCAGGTTTTAAGCCCCAATGTTTCATGAGTGCACAACAACTTCACAATAACCAAACCACTGTGTGCCTGGAGTGCCACTGCCTGGGAGAATTCAGGGAGCATCCTCAGCACTTCACACAGCAGAGGAGTCCTGGAGCATCCACCAAAATTCAGCCACTGCAAAGGCCTGCAGGAAAAGGCTGCTCCTCCTAGCCACAGCCCCTCCAGCAGCAGCCCATGGAAGTCTGGCTTCCAGCTGCTTCCACACACAGCTAAGCCCTGGACAGGAGCTCCAGATATTGGGATAAAGTCATAGGCAGGAGAAGCAAACCCTGGCACGTAACAAGTGGTGACTCCCCTGCTGTGTGAGTGTCACTGCTGAGACTTTATGGGTATTTATTGTTTCATGTCTGCACAAAGAAGCATCAAAGTGGAAATAATTACTTGGATATTTCATGCAACTTGTAATCTGTCAGTCCTTTATGGCTTTTATTGAAGGAGTTATGTATAAACAACAAAAACCAGCAGAGGACATTTTGTCTTTACAACACTGAGGCAATTTCACATCCAAGCCTCTTTTGTGCCAAAGCCATGGAAAAGTTAATGGAAATGCTTTCAGTTTGAGTCTCCTCACCAACTGTCAGCATCACTAAGGAAACCAGTGCTCCTGACTCGCCAAACTGCTCCTCATAAACAGGGAGAGGAGTCTGCCTGCTCCTGCACATGAACACACTGCTTCTGTACCTGAGCGAGAGCTCACAAAATAAAAGGTGCCTCCAAAGAAAAATACATTTGAATATTAAAACCCACACACACAAGTTCAAGGACAAAACAGAGCTCCTAATAAACACTTGAGAAGGAAATAGAAAAGTAAAACATTTAGAGACAGAGAATATTACCTTCCCTACTCATTTTGAATAAAACTACCCACAGCATCAGGGATGTTGTTCAGAAATGTATTTTTCAACAGCCAGTACCACAACATGGTCCTTTCTGAACGAGAAAGCTGCATCCACCTTCTACTTCCTTCCATTCAGCTTCCTGAGCCTTTAGGCAGGACTTCATTGGTTTCTGTAACACATCAAAACTCTCCTGGAAGCCTACATCTAATAATTAATTGCCATTTAGTGGGTTTTAAAACTCATTTCTGGAGCCTTGATCTTAATTTATCAGCAAGATTCTTCAACAGTAAAATATTAATATTGCTGGGAAAGCTTCATGCATAAGGAAGAAAGGAGATAATAGATAAAAAACTTCATCTTCCAAGTGTTAAATAACGAGCTTGTCCTACCACAAGCCATCACTTAACACAGGCCACAGGCAAGGCCCTGCCTTAGCACAGACTGAGACCTGGGCTAGAGGAAGGAAGCCCTGCCCATGGCAGAGGAGTGGAACTGGAGGAGCTTTAGAGACCCTTTCCACCCAATCACTCCCTGATGCTGTGATTTGGGAGCCCCTCAAAGTCCTGAGCAGGATTTAAACATGGACACCTCCTGGCCTGTGCTTTACCATCTCAGGCCGGGTCAGTCCTCCCAGAAGAACTAAATCTCCTCTATGGAGCACATCCTAATATTAAAAATGCAGCCATTGAATTAATTACAAATGAGAGACCCCATCCAAGAAAGCCTCCAAACACAAAGTCCTTCTGCAAGGAAAACATTTGCATTTCTACCTCCCTGTCACTGCAGCACTTGAGAAAAGCACCTCAACAGAGCAACATTCAATTCCTTCCTGGCAAGGCAGAAATACATTTCAATTATCATTTTCCCCTCACAGAGGGGATCATAATTCTCCCTGCCCACACCCTGATGTGAGAGCCTGTAAACAAAACCATGCTTTGTTTTTCCCTGCCCTGCAATACCTGACCTGTTCACTTTGGCAGGGGATTGGTTGCACGTACTCCTGGTGGGAAATGGAATTCGCTGCACAGGGATTTTCACTTATTTGCTTAATAAACCTTTCAGATCTATTATTGAGGGTTGGAGAGGAGGGAAAAAAAAGTTAACTTTGCACAGAGGAAACTTCTCCAGTTGTGGTGATTTAGTAGAAAGCCCTGCAGTAAATCCAAGGCAAATCACTGCCTTTCCATAACAAATCAAGCAAGCAGTGACAAGAGCCAGCTTTTCAGGCCCTTGAAATACTTCACTGCCAAAAACTGGAGGTGCAGCTCACAAAGAAGAGGGCCAGAGATGAGGAAAACCTCTGGATACACCCCGATTCCTTGGAAGGCTCCGCAGAGCTCCGGTGCAGGCTGGAGGGGTTTGGTTGTGAATGAAGGCAGCTGAACCTCAGCTGCTCTGCAGCTGAAGGGGAAAGGAATCCCTTCCCTCTCCCTCTCACACAGGCAGCACAACAGGCAGAGCCAGCATATTCCCAAGGCAAGGAAAACACTACTTCCACGGACCAAGAGTCCCTGACAAACACGAGGGCCTCAGCATTCCCTGCCCCAGGACAAATCCCAGTGCCAGTGTTTCAAAGGGCTTCCTCCAAATTTGCCTTCCAAACTCAGCCCCAGCCACCCCCAAAGGTGACCACCAGGATGTGCTACTGCCACTTGTCCTCCTCTCTGAAGTGCCCTCTCCAGTTCTGGCCCCACTTTGGGAAGGACCTTGGGACACTTGAGCATGTCCAGAGGAGGCAATGAGGCTGGAGAGGGGCTGGGAACACAAACCCTGTGAGGAACCACTGAGGGAGCTGGGGGTGCTCACCTGGAGAAAAGGAGACTCAGGGGTGACCTTACACTCTCCACAGCTCCTGAAAGGTGGCTGTGCTCAGCTGGGGCTGGGCTCTTTCTCCAGGCAGCACTGACAGAACCAGAGCACACAGCATCCAGCTACCCCAAGGGAAATACAGGTTGGATATTAGGAAGAAGTTTGCCACAGAAAGAGTGATAAAGTTCTGGAATGCCTGGGAAGGTGATGGAATCACCATCCTTGGATGTGTTCAAAAAAAGACTGGATACGTTTGGTGCCATGATTTGTTTAAGGTGTTTAGGACAGGGGTTGGACTTGATGATCTTGAAGGTCTCTTCCAACCTGGTGATACTGTGAATTCTGTGATTCTCCAGGATGCCCAGGTGCCCAACACCTCCCTGCGTTTCCCACTTTATCCATCAAACACTCTTCAAACTGATTGTGCAGGGGGTAGAAAAATAAAAAAGACACTGAAACTCCACACAGAGGCTGAGAGAGCTGGGGCTGCTCAGACTTGGGAAGAGGGGGTTGTGTGAAGACCTCACAGCACCTGCCAGGGTCTGGAGGGGACACAGGGAACCCAGAGAGGGACCCTGCATCAGGAACTGGAGAGACAGGACAAGGAACAACAGGTTCAATCTAACAGAGGGGAAATTAGGGTTTGATATTATGGAGAAATTCTTTCCTGTGAGGGTGGGCAGGCCGTGGCACAGGGTGCCCAGAGCAGCTGTGGCTGCCCCTGGATCCCTGGCAGTGTCCAAGGTCAGGCTGGAGCAGTCTGGGATAGTGGAAGGTGTCCCCAGACCACGGAACAAGATGGGCTTAAGGTCCCTTCAAACTCAAACTGTTCTATGATTCTCTAAATTAACTGAATTTAGCAATTTTAGCCTCATGGCTCTATCTACTGATGTGCCATGGCAGGTCAAAAAAAGCTCCCCCAAAAGCTTTTACTTTCAGAAAAAAATTTACACCCAATTATGACTCAACTTCTTTCCCGCTTAACCTCCCAGTGGTCAGACAAAGGGAACCCCTGGCCTTGGCATGATTTACAGCCTCATCCATTTACAAGCTCCAGGATCTTTTCCCAAAAGAAAAGCACAAGCATTAAGCAAACAGGAACATACAGGGCTGGAGCCAGCACTAACAGAACAGCGCTGAGAGAACGCTGGCCAGACTGTCAGAAAAAGCTGCCTGGCAGCAAGAAGGATTAGTAACACTTCCCCAGGAGCTGGGGAATGAACTGTTGAAGTTCATGAATTACATGAATGACAGTTGAAGTTCACGGAGCAGAGCTCTGGAAGCAATGCCCCAGGGGCAGCAGGACAGGCAGCAATGCTGGCAGCTCCTCCCCTTGCTCAGCCACCTCTGGCAGGGGCACCACTGCCAGAAACCACGGGGCATCTGGGGAGCTGGTGGGACACCAGGCTGCCCACAGGAATGCCGTTCCTTTCCTGACAGAACAACCTTCCTGGAAGGCTGAAACACATGGGGAAATGGGGATAGGGAGCCCACTCTAGAGGCACTCCTGAACACAAGCACAGGAGCAGAGGGTGCACTCTGGGGACTGTCCTCCTGCAAGCACACAGCTGTGGCTGTCACAATTCAGCTGCGACAGGCAGAGACAGAGCTGCAATTTGCTGAGCCCAGGGATGAGCACCCTGTCAATCCCACAGCACCCCGGCCCTCGCTGCTGTCAGTCACCAGCAGAGACAGCCTGGAGCTCCTGCAGCAGAGAGGAGACCTGAGAACTCAGAGTGAGTGAGCTGTGAACCAGCAAACGGCCCAAAAGACAGAAAATCTTATTAAAAACAGCTGCCAGAGTCTACATAATCACAGGCTGCACACCCACCTCAGCACTGCCCAGTGAAGCACAAAGAGCTGAGAGCAGCACAAGGAGTAAGAGGGGAACGGGGCAATGCAGCTCCTGGCCATGCCTGAAACATCAGCTGCCTGG